TTTTTCAAGGACTGCAACTTCCTCCCCTCAGTGGTCGAGAACGCCCTTGACTGTGTTTCCCGCATTTCTCGCAACTCATCCCTCACACCCCCTCCCCGCAATAACAACCAAAACAGAATGCCCCTCGTCCTCACGTACCATCCAACCAACCTGCGGATCCGATGCATCATCCTCCTACACTTCTGCCATCTGCAATCCGACCCCACCACCAAAGACATTTTTCCCTCCCCACCCTTATCTGCTTTCCGGAGGGACCACTCTCTCCGTGACTCCCTTGTCCGCTCCACACTCCCCTCCAGCCCCACCACACCCGGCACTTTTCCCTGCAACCGCAGGAAGTGCTATAACCTGCCCCTACACCTCCCCCCTCACCCCCATCCCAGGCCCCAATGAGACCTTCCACATCAAGCAGATGTTCACCTGCACATCTGCTAATGTAGTATGCTGTATCCGCTGTTCCAGATGTGGCCTCCTCTACTTCGGGGAAACCAAGCGGAGGCTTGGGGACCGCTTTGTGGAACACTTACGCTCGGTTCGCACTAAACAACTGCACCTCCCAGTCGCGAACCATTTCAACTCCCCCTCCCATTCCTTAGACGACATGTCCCTCCTGGGCCTCCTGCAGTGCCACAACGATGTCACCCGAAGGTCGCAGGAACAGCACCTCATACTTCGCTTGGGAACCCTGCAGCCCAATGGTATCAATGTGGACTTCACAAGCTTCAAAATCTCCCCTCCTCCTACCGCATCCCAAAACCAGCTCAGCTTGTCCCTGCCTCCCTAACCTCCCCTCCTCCCACCTCAAGCCCCACCCCCACCTCCTACCTACTAGCCTCATCCCGCCCCCTCGACCTGTCCGTCCTCCCTAGACTGACCTATCCCCTCCCTAACTCCCCACCTACACTCACCTTTACTGGGTCCACCCCCGCCTCTTTGACCTGTCTGTCTCCTCTCCACCGATCTTCTCCTTTATCCATCTTCTATTCGCCTCCCCCTCTCTCCCTATTTATTTCAGAACCCCCTTCCCCTCCCCCATTTCTGAAGGAGGGTCTAGGCTCGAAACATCAGCTTTCCTGCTCCTCTGATGCTGCTTGGCCTGCTGCGTTCATCCAGCTCTACACCTTGTTATCTCAGATTCTCCAGAATCTGCAGTTCCTCCTATCTCTGAAATAATTTGTTACCACCCATCCCAGATCCTGTTTTAGACTTAGCAAAAGTTGGCAAATTTCGAGGGAATACATATCTCTCTACTGGTTCCAGGCCCACCCTCCGTTCACTGTAATTCTATATTTCCAAAACAACTGAAAATACAAAAAAGAAAATCATCATCAGCCATGTCGTAAGATAGCAGCCACTGGAGTAACCTGTAAAGTACATAATAAAAACTGAAAGAACTGCAGATCTTGTAAATCAGGAACAAAAACAGAAGTTGCTGGGAAAGCTCAGCAGGTCAACTCTGATTTTTTCTTCATAGATGCTGCAAGACCTGCTGAGCTTTTCCAGCAACTTCTGTTTTTGTTCCTGTAAAGTACATATTTTGTTCAGTGGCATTAAGCCCTGGTCCAAATAGTTTCAACAGAATACCAAGGTGCAGTTCTACTACAGTCAATGTACTATGGGCGGTTGTAGGGGTTGCAGGATAAATTGCATCACAGAAAGTAAACTACATTAACACAAAATACAAAGTAGTATTTTATATCTTACTGAAAACTGTGCAGAATTCCATTCACTGAAAAATAGATCATGATTTTGAACAAATTGTCATTTTCTTTTACATAAAACCTCTTTTAATGTATAAACCATATTACAATTAGCTTGTTTGGATGATGCAGTAAAGGGAAATCTCCCAGAATAAAATATCTATATTTCAAACAGCCCAAGCAGTATATAATTAAAAACATCATAATCAACTGTAAGTGTACTGTATTGCTTTGCATCTCATGTCAACATTCTTCCAAACCCCGTTCAAAACTTTGCCTTGGTTAACAGAAAAATGTATTAAAACAATTTTTAAAAAAAATTTAGCTCATGACAGAAGTTAATTTTCCAACTCAAAATTTAATGTAGTTTCAAAGTGACATATTTAACAGACAGCCACCATTAACTTGGAAAGACTGCTTCACCTTTTAGCACCAGTTGAAACCGAGGTTACAATACAGAAAACTGCAAGAAATTCTGTCATTTTCAAATTTTGCTTAAATTGCAAGGTGACATCCTTCCGTCTCTCCAGAGAATTGCCACTATAACCACAGCAGTCTTGCCTATATTTGTGAAATCTTCCAAGGTGAAGCAATTTTTCTTAAATATTAAACATAAACTGAGTTTATTTAGACACTGTTCAATATCTTGCATACTTTAGTGAAGTCAACTCCCTTACTTGTCCTGTTCATTTATAATCTTCTAAGCATCTCTGATAATTCCTGAGTTATTCTTTCCATTTGTGATCTACCTCTCATTTGCGACATTATGATCTGAACAGTATTTTGCCAGTGCACTGTAAAGTCTTTGTGTAACTTCTATACTTACAAGAGAAAATACAATTTATATCTGAAGTTTGCACAATGGCATTGCAATGCACTCTTACTTTTTTTTAAAACTTGTTCCTTATACAATCACAAATTATACCCTATATACCTGTCTTTTGTTTTTCATTCTTTATTTCACCAATTTCTTAACAAGAACAAAACATTACAGAAATTTGAGAGTAACCAATTTGAATCACCATCTTTCGTGCATGCAAAACTTTGCTTTACTCCTTTCAATAGAGATAGACCCACTGCGTGCTTTGCATCTAAACTGCTTAGTTGCTTGATAAGGCTATTTGAAGTTGAGTGACTGATACAAAGTGCAGAACAAAAAGAACTGGAAACAAGCAACTAGAGGAAACAGTTGCGGTTGGCACTGTTATTTTATTAGTACGAGTATACTGAAACAATAAACTTGTACTGGTATACAGACAATTTCTTTAAAACAAAATTTGTTCAAAGTCTGGATCAAATATTATCATAATAATGAAATAACTTCTAACTAGAAAACCTGCAAGCACCATCAAAGAAAGGGACCATAAAATTCAACAGACCCGAGTGTATCCTACAAATAGACACACCACGATTAGAAAATAGAATATGAATTCTTCCATTTGTATAATTGTTTAAAAAAAGCTAGTGCAAGTACAATATTGTACACTGGAATTACATAGAATACGCACGTGTACGGAAAACGTCCCTCTTTCACAATGAAAGCTCTTAACTACGTATTTATGCACTGAAAAATCTCTCTCCTCATCAGTAAGGTGCAAAACATTTTTCCCTCCCCCATTTTCCTGCATCTACTGGCCATTGCCATTAGGTGACCACAGCTTAGTCAGTCCATGAAGAAAACAAAAAAAGACAATTACCGCCTCTAATTGATTCTCAATGGAAGACTTAGAACTTTCAATAGGTACTAACAACCAAAAACATAGCAAACTCAGGAGCAGCAGTTCATATCTGGGACTATTCATAAACTGGCTGCACATCTAAAAGTCTCTTTGTACAGTACTTCATCCTCGCCACAGCCTGAACAGATCAATCTCCTGGACATTACAAATTAAAATATACAACTAAATTTAACCTTCAACTTCTTTAATGGATCCCTCCTCAAATATATTACAAGATATGAAAGTCAAAGCTAGTTTAAACAGCATCTGAGCCTTTCAAAAACTGAGTAACCTTCCACCAACATTCAAGTCTCCATGTGCAATAGGTTCATGTTACCTGTACTAATCAATGAGTGAGCCTTCACTGTTAAACCTTTTGAAAGCAGTTTGTTTACAAAGGTCCCAACCAGATACAGCGCTATGACAATCTGATCAGTAAGGTAACAATATTTGAGGCTAGGTTTGTTAAAAAGAAATTAGGCTTCAGAGTTAGTGAAAGTGCTGCTTCCGGTTACATCAGTGTTCCACATGCACACCAGCCCCATCCCTGAGTAAGAGGTGTGAAAGGGTTCTTCAGGTCTCTCCAATCATCCTGTCCAGACAGATTTAAAAGGTGTTGTAGGTGGAAATCTCAATTACTATAGGAACAGTCAGTAAATATTTGTAACTGTCCACTTACAGGTGGGTTTACCCTGACTACC